GTATCTGTATGCCTCTAAATGATCTTAAAAGAATCAAATTGAAAAGGAGGAGGGTACAACTTTGCAACATGACCGATTCTAAAACTAATTTGGGGATATTTGAAAGAATTTGATAATGGATTGGGGCAATATGTTCCAGAGTGAATATTTAATTTACCTCAAAAGTTCCTTATAATTCCAGTGTTTTATTTATTTATTTATTTTTTGCTTTTAAATAGACTTCGAAGGAGAAAGTGCGAGGCGGGTGCACTTCAGTTTGCTCGTACATGTACCATCAAATGCCCACACATTTAAGTGAGAATATCGGTACTTTGAACCCTTTTAAATGAAAAAAAAAAGTTTTGAAAGGGGGAGGGAGTGTTGTTGTTGTTGAAGGAGGTGGTTGGATGTATAACAAATACATATTTGGAATTTTAGGAAAGAGACATTAATGAATCCCTGTTTAGGCTGCAAATGGAAGAAATGGGACACTGATCTGTTAAAAAAAAGTCCCTTTAATGTCTTAATTATATTGTGTGCAATTCTGCATGTACACCAGATTTTGTATAATCAGGTTCTAAATGTACATGTACGTGATAGCGATTGAATGGCAAAATTGATATTAATTCATCGCTCTTTTATAGATCTTCGGTCTTTTAATCTAATTTTATAATTAAAGTAGACATGCAATTTCGTAAATGATATATTATGTGCCGGTATATTCGTTGGAAATTGTTTTAAATATTTCCGTGAAATATATATTTTATGTGTAATTTTAGTCCGCTTAAGCGAGTATTGATTACTCAATTAATCAACATGCCATTTGGGATCCAAAATGAACAAGTTATTCGTATTGCTTTTCAAATTGCATATCTTATTTACAACAAATTAGAACATACATTATTAAACCCTAGTTTCATTTGATGAGAAATGGGCCTAAAAATCTATCTATCATTGTTGAAATTCCATTGATGCATGAAAAATTAGTTGAAAAATATCTGTGTTAATTTTTTTTTTTTTTTTTTTTTTTTTTGTTAAATGGCGTTGCTATGTTGTATAATTGATGACCAAATTGAATTGAGAACGTGACGATTGCTATTGAACCCGTAACAAAAACAAAAATTTTTGACCGCTACTCGTCACGTTTCACGATAATAAAGATTATTTAACTTCAAATAGCACAATCTTGACTTTACAAAACCAATCAACACCAACAAAAAACACAATTGGTCTCTGAACAAAAAAACTCCGAAGATGCCAAACTTAGATTTTTTTTCTTCAATTTATGCGTCAAAAACTTTTAATGTGTATTCTAAATCAATATTTCTGATCCAAAGTCTCTTCAATTTTAAATTGAAATTTATTTAACAGTTGAGAGGATGAAAAAGGGGCGATCAAATTTAATGTAAATTAGATATTCTAATTGGATTAAGAATTTAGGTCCTTCACAGTAATAAAGTTAATGACTGGAGGGTTTTAAAGGACCCGGATTACGACAAGTGCCCTTTGTATTCAGGTACTATGCATATTTTTTTCATTCACACCGCATATTTTGGTTTGATAAGCCGATTAACGATAGGGAGCTTAGTGGGATTCAAAATAGAAGGAGAATGTATTGGACTAACTAATATCATAAATATTTCATACGAAGGATTTAAGTTTATTAACCAGTCCCTCGATAGTGTTCGGGAAAAAAAATCATTCAATTCAACTGACCGTACCTATAATTATATATAATTGGTCATTGACTCCGGGACGAGAACTGCTCAGCTCTCGGAGTTTGCGCGGATTGAGTTAGGATTACAGCGTATGTGTGTGTGCAATGATTTAGATGAATCTGGGTCACGTTCGCATACTCTAATGTCGTAGATAAGTATAAACTCTCAATCACTTTGGACATTTTTAGTGTACTGGGTAGACCTACCTTTGGATTGAGCAATTAACGGGTAAGAAAACGTGTTTGCATGTATAAAAGTTTAGCAAGTTAAGAAAACTCATATACGATTTGATTATTTTGTAAAGAAACATCAATGTTTGATTTTTTCCGGTGATGTAAAAAATGCCTTTCTCTATACGAACAGAGAAAATGTGCCCCCCCCTCCCCCCCCCCAAAAAAAAATAATAATAATAACATTTTGGTGATGGAATTCATGTTTGTAATTAATCACCGCTTTTTCAGTTTGTCTGTTAATATAACTTTTGTAAGTTAAGAAACCTCTGTGCTAGTACATCTGTACATAGTTTAACCTCTAATGTAATTAACCTCTATAACCATGCAGACATCTCTGTCTGATTTCCCCCCTTAACATTTAAAAAATAAAATGCCGTTCTTTATATCTCTGCGATAATATGCAAAAAATTACACGGAGGTTAAATAAATATTTTAATTTCAAATACAAAAAATAGAAAATAAAAAAATAATTATATTGTTAAAAAAAAAAGCGACGGCGGTCTTTCAGATATTCGTTTTTTTTACGTTCCTCCTAATGTCCTATGTTTAATTACTGCATATCAAATTATAGGGTTTTATTGATTAAAGTTTGATAATTTCTTGCTGAACAAATAAAGTGCAATTTCGTCTACACCCTGTTTAAATAGATACTCGATGTTTGTAAAACAGCTATCTTATCTAGAAACAAGGCATTTATGAACACCGACTGACTGCCGGTAGATCGTAATTTCTAACAGACTCTTAATTCGAGCCGAGATCTCAAGGCAGATAGTTTTGACATTTTTCTGCATATGTACATATACTTGTATTATATATCAAGCAGAAATATGATTAATGGTTTCCTGTGATATTTTTTTTACTAAGCACGCAGCGTGTTAATAATTTAATCTACACATGTATATATTTTTTCAATGTTATGTAATTAATATTTACTTGTAACATGTATGACTTGACCTGTATTGTGGAGAGGACTTATATAGGCAGTGCCTGCTGTCCAATCCAGTTATGTTTAATCATAATAAAATATTGTTTAAATTAAATTAATTTAATCTCTCTCTCTCTCTCTCTCTCTCTCTCTCTGAAAATCGATTTGATTTTATAAAATGTTTAATTATTTGCTTGAATGGATTTTTTTTTTTAAAAAAAAGTCGCTAAATATTTTCTTTTTCCAAAACTATTTTAAATAAAGAACAATGTTTTTATTACAGATAATATACTATATACATGTTTACTAGGTCGATTAAAGATAAAGTTTTCAAATAATTGAATAGGACAATATATCATAGCAACAAAACTAATTCTAAATATATTTTTCGAAAGACCCGGTATCATAAAAAGTACACATTTATTATGTGTTCCAATTTTCCTTTCACAGTTTTTTTTTTAAATTTCCAGCATTTATTGGCGCCATGAATAAATTGTCGCCAGCGACAATATATCGAAGTTGACAGCAGGTGTTGTCCTTGCATAGATATATAACGATATATGCATATATTTAAAGACAAAGTGCTGTCACACTAGAATCAATAATTAAAATTTAAAATTTAGGGCGAAGAGTTATCTTTGTAATAATAGCAAAAGTTATTATGGCGACAGAGTAACTAAAAAAAAATATGTTAAGGTCGGGGGGGGGGGGGTAGGGGCGAGGATCAAGAATAGATTTTCAATTTTGTCGATCACAAAATTTTAAAGGAAAAATTGACCGAGTCTAGACATAATGGAAATTAATATTTAGGACCCCACGAAAACTGCCTACAATGGCACATGTTCAAAAGCAACTTTTATATTTGGCATTATAATGAAAATAAAATAAATAAGATTAAATGAACAAATACATGTATGCATTATCCAGTATTGTCTATTTTAAAGTTATGATTACTTCATTCCTAACTACAGATTTGCTAAGTATTGAAAATAATTGAAAAAAAAATTTCAAAAACTTCATTAAGAAACAAGAATAAGTCCGCCCATCCCCCTTCTTAAATTCCACATTTAAAAATATCTAGTAAAGAGGCTTGTAAATATAATCAGTAATCCCGGGAAATATGGATTCTAGTTATACATGAACAATTATCTAGTAAGTTTATTTTTATCAAAATAAATACTGCAAACTGATTAAAAAAAAAAAAAAAGAATGCAGAAATTTATGAAAATTGTTAATGTATATAAGCACAAAATTTTCACGCAATTTTTAGCCATGCAGTAAAATACCATTTTTTCTATTCAGGGTATATGCTATGGGATGATTAAACACTTGATGAATTTATAAAAAAAAAAAAAAAAAAAAAAAAAAAAAAAAAAAAAAAAAAAAAAAAAAAAAATTAGAAGTTTATTTATACTACTTAGCAATATAGATGTACTTTGAAGATTGCTCCTGGAATGCAAAAAATTATATCAACTACATGTGTAATTAATATCGATCATACAGGTATATGCTAAATCAGCGCAGGGAAGATTTTCATGTGTTATTAGGTGATAATATTTTATTGAATAAGAATGAAAATAAAAATACATAAAATGGATGTATCTTTTCAAACTACACAAACTTTGTGATCTGTTAAAAATAATTACGCCATTTTTTAAAATGTTAAATTGTGCGATAATCGGGATTTGACAAACCGTTAACAGATAGATAATGTCAAAACCACCTGCCTTTGATATAATGCCAATAAATTAACCGCACTGGTGCAAAAAGGACAATGCATTTTTTTCTCTCGCTTTAAACCTTTAAATTTCTGAAGATGACACAAATTGTTTCGAATATGATGCGAATATTAGTTGAATAGCCATGTATTCAATCATAACCATCATATCTGATTTTGCACCGTCATAACTTGTAAACGTGACTGCGAGGTATTTAAACTGTTAATCGATTGTTTTATATGCCCTTAAATATATATCGAGGTTAAAAATTTATGACCGAGAAACTTCCGCTCTGATAGCATTGTTTGTATACAATCTTAGTTTTATATCAATTATGACATGTGCTCACGTACTTAACTGAAAGTTACTCTATTGTGTTTGTTCAGTGACTTGGTAACTTGGGAGTTCTTAATGTTTAAAGATGAAAGTGAATTATACTAAAGGCATAGATGAAAGAAAATATGTGAAACAGCTTGAATTTGATACCCCTTTGTAAAAGAAGGACTTTATTTTGAGAAAATATAAACTTTGTGTATTTGGAGAAAAGAAGGGAAAATATATATCTTCATTTAAAAAAAAATGGCTGAAAGCAACGGAGTAAAGCATCGTACTTCTCGTAACAGGAACGTCACAGACACTGGAGACGAAATGACGTCATCATTAATTCAGACCAAGAATAATCAGGTATCCTATATTGATGTGGAAACCACCAAAGACTGCTTTACGGATGATACTTGTAGTGAACCAGAGGAAAATCCCGAGAAGTTCCGATGTGACAATTGCGGGAAAATCTTTCTGAAACTTGCTGGAGTGGGGATGTGTGGGATTGTGTTTGGGATAGCTCTTGAGAAGGCTAGGGGTAAGAATTCAGGTTTTATGATTCTAATGTTATGATAATTATATATAGATATATATTATTTATTTTAAATGGTTAATAAATCAGGTACATAATAAGCTTAATAGCGAGCGCAGCGAGCGGCGCGAAGCGCCGCTCGTCACTGCGAGCTCTAACGACAACGCCTGGGCGAAGAGAAAATTCGGACTACAGCACATTCATTCAATGGAATTTTTCCGCAGTAATTCTGGACCCACAATGCATCGCTTGTTGTTCTCGTTGCTAACTTCGTTCGCGCGGTATCAACAACTAGAAATTCACAGAAAATAAACTCACCTTAATTTAATGGATACAGATAGAAGATTAAACGTTCTTCGTTAAAATTTTTGCACTTTTTCAAACTTCGTTTATGGAATTGCAGCTAACACACGACGTCATGTGACGTCACAGTCTAGACGTTCCAAATGTCTCGTGCGGTTTGTTAAGATTAAGTGAACAATGCGCTCGCCCCAACGGGCGCACCGTCAACATATTATACAATTATAGACTCTTTAAATAGTGGTTAATATGTTTGATATTCACCAGAAAAGTATCAATTTGCCCAAGGCGAAGTCGAGGTCAATACTGATATTTTTCTGGTGAATATCAAAACATATTAACCACCTGAAGAGTCCATAACAGTTTTATCATATAGTTTACTATCAAATAAATAAGACATTGAAGGCTGCAGGACGACATCGTTTTTCTTAAACTTCGGTCGCTGAAAGATTTTAAAATGTCCAGATTACAAGTTATAGCTTCCGTGTTTTCCTTCCGTAGTGTAAGACATCATTTCCCTCGAAATGTTTAAATAATAATGCAGTGAAAGGCTTTCAAAACATTTAACTGCTCAGATACACAACTGACTTCAACCGTCTCAGCCATCATAGTTTTGAACGTTGTTTGAAGAGTCATTTGTGACGTCCCAATTGCCGTTGCACTCGCACTAACCCTTCGGTGAATACGACTTTAAATCTTCTTTTAGATATGCAGTTTTATGAACCGTTTGCGTTTTATATATCATATACTAGAACTATAAATATACTATATACTGTTTTTTTAATGATCCGTTAACATACACGTTTTTCATCAGTATGTTGCTAAAATGAGATCACATTCTTACGTATTTAAATATAGTATTGTACGTCGCGGGTTCGAATCCCACTGTGGGACGTGGAGACCGATCCTTCGGATGAGACCGTATAAACCGAGGTCCCGTGTCGCAGTAGGTGCTGGCACGAAAAAGATCCCTCAATGCTCAATGGTCCTGATTGAGGACGACATCCTGTGGCACTTGTGCATTTCTGAAAAAAATGCAGTGGAATTTTCTTTCAGACAATATAGACCACAATAAAGATTTTAAGAAGTGTGATATTTCTAAGATTTTTACACAACATATCCGAAAAGTGAATTGGGCGACGGATATGGATACTATTTTCTTAAGAAAAAAAAATCACATTTTGAAGCTTTTTCATAAATTCAAGTTATATTCAAGTCATATTCAAGCATATTTCAAATCTTGTTTTCCAAACATAAAATTTGTAGGGTATATTAATAACGCCAAAATCGTACCTACATCTTTCAAAGTTTAGTCAGTATGTACGTGTGTCTATTCAACATTTTGTTTTACTATCAATAAGTTACAGCTGTAGTCTTACGTCATTTCGTTGTTTTTCAAAAAAGCAGAAAGGTCAAAGCTATACGTCTTATTTATTCAACTACATTTTTTCTTCCACGAAAAAAAAAAAATAAAAAATAATGAAAATAATAATGTCGATTTTCATTTTTCCCCCTTTTTGCTAATTTCAGTGTTTGAACCAAAGAGTATCAGAGAGCAGATGGTATTTGAAAACTTCATAATGTTGAAAATGTTCCTCTCGGCAGTGGTGACAGGTAAGAAGTGAATTATTTATCAAAAATTAAATTTTTAACAGCACTAAAAAATATAACCTGTGCCTGCAAGAGAAATGGGACAGATAGAAATCTTTGAGCTATAGAAAAAAAATTATCGGAGCCAAAAGATAGGCATCTTAACTTTTTCTTTTAATAAAGCCAGACATGGAAGGGCATTAATTAATAATTTTTCTGTTGGAGGACTTGATGGCCGTGATTCGCGACAATTGTAAGATTATTGAATCGATTTTTCGCACGAGGGAGAAAGGTATATAAGTGCAAAAGCTTCACGTTTAAAGTTTATGAAGTAAATTACTCCAGACAGTCCCTTTTTCCCATTTTGATTCACCAGGTAGAGCAATCGATTTTACTGATACTGATAACACTTGGTAATTTACCCCCATCCCACCCTCCCGCTATCATGAGACCTCTTGTGGGGTCTGTCTTCTTCAAAATGTTACATATATAGCTTGAACCCTTCTCAACATCAATAGAAAAGCGTATGTATCGGTTCGGTACTGAAAGTGTACACTGGGGGTAGCTATAGAAAAAAAATGGGATGGGAGGGTAAAAGGATTAAGAGGAAAAACTTGAGTCTGGGAAGAGAGAGGGGAAAAGTGTGAAGAAGATCTAGAGGTAGGAAGAGAGGGATTTACGGAGAGCTGCGGGGATATGAGATAGTGGTAAGGGGGCCGAGTAAAGGTCTAACTTTGAAGCCCTTCACCGGTATTTGGTGACGTTTCTATATGAATAACCAACATACAATCAATCATATACATACACATGGCGTGTTTACGTCTTTAGGCATACCAACGTCAAAGATTACAAGACACTTGGAAATCAAATACAGACCTATACTTCCTATCTACAACTCACCCTTAAACACGTCCGAAATATCAAGATTTTTTATGAAAATAAAAAAAAAAAAAGAAATATATTCAGTGCAAGTGCCCATGTTTCGGGAAATTGGACAAATCTTATTTTTCAAATATATTTCAAAAAATGATGGTGGGTAATTTGAATTTGAAAATAAAATAAATAATTTATATAATTACATGTGTATAAAAGAAATTCTTTGTTGCAGGCCAGCTGTGTATGGCGATACTCTCGATAATTCCTGCCACAAAGGAGAAATTTGAGGAGGCATCGAAAGGATTCGTCTCCTGCTTTAGTGACAGGGGAATTTTGTCGAGTGCAGTGGGTCCATTTGTGCTCGGCATTGGAATGTCACTTTGTGGTGCTGTAAGTTGAACACTTTTTTCGATTCTAGATCAATAAATTTAATATCCTGTTTACATAAGTCTAAATGGACTTTAAAACCTCTACACTCATATCAGCTATCATGCTTCATGGGAAACAAGTTTGAAATCCGTTATTAATGATAGAATGACAGACCCTTATTAGATAGTAACAAAACGGTTGAAACTGCTTAAACAAGGAAAAAAAAACAAGATCTGAATATTTCATATGCATGTTAAATTAGAATGCAAGTCGATTTACACAAGTGAATGACGATATTTGATTTTAAATTCGATCTTTAAATTCAGTTACATATTAATAGGAGCCATCCTCTTGTTCGTTATTTAATTTCATCTTATTATACAACCATGAATATTTAATTAAAAAAAATAAAGTGATCATATCCAATAACAAATCAAAGGAATTTTTCGCTTAACAAATATTTAAAATTGTCTGCTTCTTTAGAACTTGACTCCTGATCTTTTTTTTTACCGTCTGAAAAAAGTACAATGTATTTTTAGGTTTACCTCCATTTGAGATAGGGGATCTTTTTAAATCAATAAATTGTCATTCTTATTTCAAAACTTGTGATTTGGAACAGTTCTACTAACACAGAAACCTTTGTCTCGACCATTAAATGCCAATCTGTCTTGGTGCTGCAGTTTTAAAGATTGCACGATCTTCAGCCAAATTCTTTACGGAAACTGACAAAGCTATTTCACGTACTTGGCCACGGGGGGTATTACCTATCTAATGTAATACTTATCTATTCTATCCGTTCATTGTCGAAAACTTCAAAGGATATTTACAATCGTCGGCTGTATCTTCAAACGTTTGTTCAATAACTTCTTGAAAGATTTAAAAAAAAGAATATGAAATTTAATAAGGAGTGCATTTACGAAATCGTAATAAACTTATAACAGAAATTTACTCAATTATACTTTGTATAAAACTGTGCAATGTAAACTTTTCAAAGGATGAAATGAAGTAATTAAAAATTAATTGTAAGCAAATTATTTTTAATATACATCTAGGGGTCTTTTTAAAACTTTTAATCTTATATCACCAAATTAGCAAACGATTTCATTTTGTCCAGTTGATAAGAATATAAAATGAACTTGAAACACAACCAACTTTATCATATATATATATATATTTAAATTTATTGATAATTTTATTTTTCAATTTTATTTCTAGTGTCCAGGCATGGTTTTACCACAAGTTGGAGCATGGGTCCCCAACTCGGGTTAGACAACTGCAAACTCAAAATTATTTTACGAATGGAGTTTAAAGTTTTAATTAAGCTGCAATTTTTAGAAAATGATATTAAATATTTCATTTATAACGATTTACAATAACTTCATACATTGATAGACTTTAAAAATTAATTCTTGCCTCCAGTGTTTACCTTACTTGGTGCTTTGATTGGTGCTCTTACGTACGGGTTGCTTGGTTCCCAGCTCTCTGCAGTGACGAAACCTAAGTTCTGCATTAAGCATCAACAGTAAGTTAAATTCTTTAATAATTAACAGAGTTACACTTCTTTATTAAAGTCTAAGAGCTCTCTCTAAATTGATAATTTATCAGATTATTTTTAGCGGTTTAGATCTATTTGCCCGAGAAGTTGCGATTGTGACGGAAATATCAGCTGTCATCTTACCTCAAGCTTAAAATCTAAACTATTTTAAAATATATTTTGAATTTTTGACTTGTTATAATTGAAATTTACTCCAGTGCGAAACGTGTATAAATGTGCGTCCGTAAATTGGTGTTTCAGCCTGGAAAAAAGTCCAACCTCTTACCTTAAATCATTTTTTAGCTCACCTCGACTTCGTCGAGATGAGCTTATGCTATACCTCCGGTGTTGCATGGCGTCGGCGTCCCGGTTAAAGTCCATTCCCAAATAACTATAAGCCCTACCTAGAACAAACCTGCATGGATGATGTATCTATAGGGATGGAAACTACCACACTTGCTTCGGATGCTGGATCTGACCCAGATTTTCGAGATGAGTGAACAGGTTAAAGTTTTTGGAGCAGGTCCATTCCCAAGTAACTATAAGACCTACCTGGACTAAACTTGCATTGATGATGCATCTAGGGATGGACACTAACCAACCTGCTTCAGATGCTGGATCTGACCTAGAGTTTCCACGATCGAGTGAATTTCAGCCATATTTTAACTCAATTAGCATGAATGATGTATCTAGGTGTGAACACTTCCAGACTTGCTTTGGATACGCAGTACAGTTAAGGTGCCCAATGGAAATATCGGCAATTTTTATGATTTAAAAATATATTTTAATCAGGATGGCGATTATTTTTAGTACTTTATTTATATCGGTTATATGTAATTATCGTTATTAACTACATATTGAGGACGATTACATTTTATATTTAGACTTGTCACGTGATGTGACAGTCACGTGATTTTAGCACATATACTTCCAGTATTGAGGTCACCTATAAATTTCACTTGTGCAAGGGCATAACCAAGTTAAAATTCTAAGTTAAGTTTATAAATATTTTCAACACGCATCGTAGTTTCTGAAAAGTGCTGTGATCCTGTATTGATTCTGCTATTTCATTGTTAAAATCATGTTTGTATGGCCGCATGCTCATTTTTTTGCTGGTCAACGGCATTAAATATAGATATAATTAATTCATTTTCAAGATTTCACCAGGATCGCAGCACTTTTCAAATACCTAAATACTTCTAGAGTTTATTTGTAAAAGCTTACTATGATCCATTGAGTGTATGCCCTTGCACTAGATCGATATATTAAGACACTTACATTACCCTCCGATGCACTCGCATACAAATATACAGCGGTATCAATTAAATAGGAAGTGTACGGAAAATATATAAATAAAATCATAAAGAAGACATTGAATCCAAGTTTATGCCCTCTTTATGCGATCAGTGACTTGTTTATACCTTGCTATATAAGATTTAGCTATTGACAAAACAGCATGCTGAAGTAAGTTTTGATGTAGTTTGATGGTTTCCTACATTTTACAATAGCAACTATTTCTTTCTACGGAAGCCGGTAGGTGCCAGGTAGAAAAATATTTTATCTGGCGGCCGCCAGATAACTTTCTGGCGGCCGCCAGAAACTTATCTGGCGGCCGCCAGAAACTTATCTGGCGGCCGCCAAATGATTTTCTGGCGGCCGCCAGATAAAAAGATCTGGCGGCCGCCAGATAAGTTATCTGGCGGCCGCCAGAAAGTTATCTGGCGGCCGCCAGAAAATTATTTGGCGGCCGCCAGATAAAATATTTTTTCTACCTGGCACCAACCGGCTTCTGTATCTTTCTGTGGTATTTTCAAGAATTGTTAGTTTTGTATGATGTCATAGTTAATATTTCCCGTAAAAATTAGGCCCGCCCCCTTCTTGTAGCCTTAACTGTGCTGCGTTCAGAATCTGACTTACATTTTCCAAATGAGTGACAAGGGTAATGTTTTAGGAGTAGCTATATTATATTACGGCCTGTTATATTAAAATTGCCTTGATGGTGCATTCTAAGGATGAAAACTTCCAGACTTGATGTGGATGTTGTAACTGACCAAAATTTTCTTGATTAGTAAACAAGTTAAAAGTTTTTTGAGCAGGTCTATTTCCAAGTAACTATAAGTCGTACTTAAATCAAACTTGCATGGATATTGATCTTGGGATGTACACTAACTAGAAAAAAAAATATGATGTGAGATTTGCATTACTTATAGATAACATTTTTCGAAGTGAGTTTCGTAATCTTTGAGTACCTATATTTTTGTTGTTCTGCAGAGTTCATGAAAAATTGAATGTGCCATACGCAGCTATCGCTCTTCCTATGGCAGTAGTACTTGGTGTTGTGGTTTTCATAATAGAATGGTTCTGGCCTTATCAAAAAGACTTAGAAAGTTTGGGGGTAAGTTTGTACCGTTGAAATTCTAAAACGTCCAAGATAATTTCAAATGCATGAAAATTAACGCCAGTTTCAAAAATCTTTGAATATTGCTTACATTGCTTTGATTTTTCTGGAAGATATTTAAAAGTATAGTCGGAGAACGTTGTCATTTTTTTCCAACGTGAATTGTTAGATTTTGTTTAATTCCATGTTATGAAATTTCAATACATTGTTTTTACCCTTTTCTGGACTTGTGAAATAGATATCTTACAGAGATTGTATGAATGCCAATAAGGGGACAAATTCTCTTTGGTACTAATTTTTAATAAATGTAGCATTCATGGTGTTTTCGAAATCTACCAAAAACTTTTATTATAAAAATTTGATTTACATATTCATAATGATTTTAAGTTCATTTGGGTTTGTAAAAGTTTATATTTCTTATTATCATAATTGTTTTTTTATTTTTTATTTTACAGCGAGATACCTTACTTGAGTCTAATGTGGTTACAACTATAGCCTGGCCACCTTATTTTGGAGGTATACACAATTGAGTTTTTTTTCCTTGAATGATAATTGAATTTGTCGTAATAGGTTTACTTTTAATGTAACAGGATTGGAACTGATACATTTAGTTTATTTTGTTTTCAAAAATATCACAATTTTTTTTCTTTTAATTTGAACATAGAAACCAAACATAAGTTATTCATTTTAAGAGAATCCCTGATATGAGTAATATTATGCATTTTTTAAAATTTTATTAAAAAAAAAACCAAATTAAAACACAAACCCACACACACTAATAAGACCAGATAAAATTAAAAGGTGTCAAACTAAAATGATGCGTTTTATATATTTTTTTAAATTTGTTTTGTTAACTCTAAGGAGCATTGGTTGGTTTACTCCAAATTCCCGTGATCCTCTTCGTGAATGATACGATTGGTGGATCCTCAAGCTACGTCACAGTTGTCGCTCAGTTCTTTTATACGAAAGGTGCACAACAGATGTTTCCATACTTCAGCCGAAAAAGACTGGGTGTGGCTAATTGGTGGCAGGTACGCCTTAAGTAAACATTTTCAAAACCAGAGGGAAGTAGAAAACAAAAATACTATAACCAAACGCAATTGCACCTTTTCTTTTAAAGCTTTTTATAGGTCAGCTTCTTCTACAAAATGTCACTTTCCTCAAAATTCACAGTGAAAAATTTCCTGACATGTATCTTGGTACTCACCATGTAATGCATTCACGATTAAAACAAAAGATTCGAGTATATAGACATTTAATGAAATCTTCAATCGATCGAAGTTCATTTTATGAATTAAAATTTACTCAGACAAACATTCTCAATCAGAATAGTTTTTGTTCATTTCTTCATAGATACTCCTTTAACAAGAGGCCTTATTTGCAAAAATATACTTTTCAGGTTGTTTATGTGACTGGTGCCATAGTGGGTGGGGCTATATCCGCTGCATCCTCGGATTCCTTTGGTATCGCCAAAGGTGTTCCAGTCCACATGGCATTATTGGGAGGAATGGTTATGATCTGGGGTGCTCGCTTTGGGTCAGGTTGCACAAGGTAAAATCTTTTTTATGACTTAAAGGACATTAATCAAAAGTCAACATTATTCTTATATCTAGTCATTACAAGGACGGGTACATTTGGAGGTTGATAAATCTGAAGGGTTCAGGTTTACTGTAAAAACATATCAGAAATTCGAAATTTTTTTTTTTATAGCAATTTATCAAAATCTTAAATATGATATTCGCTTACATAGTCGACACCTTTGACCGATGTCAGGTAGAAATGAAATGTAATATCAAAATAATACTTCAAAATTTATTTTGATAACATTAATGCTGAGTCACAGCACAAAGAGAGCTATGACCTTCAGTTTATCTCATACGTGATCTAAGCAAGGTCATATTACTCAACTCAGTTGCTATCTAGAGAAAAAGGAATCTTTAGATAACCTAAGGTAGCCTAGTATCCTCATGCAAAAGCGAGGCCAAGATGAAAAAAAAAGTGCTTTGGCAAAACAACAACAACAACAACAAAAAAAAAAACAAAAACAAAAACAACAACAAAAAAAAAAAAAAAAAAAAAACGATGCGAATTTTAAAGAAGAGAAATATATCGCACGTATCTTGGTAACCTTAAATTTGTAATTTTTAAATGGGTAAATATTAAAGGTTTTTTTTAAGGTGATAGGGAAAACCTGATCTTTTATGCGATAGGCCTTGATTAGTCCTTTGCATATTTGCATAAACAACTTTCTGTATGAATCAAGGAAATTATTTTTTCTCTATCAAATAAATAAGAAACACAAAGGTTACTTTGTCTTCAGTTTTGAATTATATTTGCGCTCACATAGTAAAAGTATTTTCAAAAAAAAAAATAAACATGAGAATTTTGTTGTATTTCAATGTAAATCCAATGGAAACACTTATTAAGTATACAAGATTTGAGAAATTAAACAAACAACCACCATGCAAAGCACGTTAAGTAATCTTGTAGTTCATGATCGAGAAAATAGTTCCATTTGTCTAATGCTTTAAAATGAGTTGGAATAAACTGTGATAAACTGTGATAACTTTCTGCTCGTCACAAAAAATATGAAAATGTAAACTGAGCAAAAACTAGTAGGCCTTCTATTTAGAGAAAAGCAAAAATAATCACACTCGAACTAAATAAGGATTATATATATTTTTTTGAATATATATCTGTGTCTTCATATATATTCATTGATAACTATATTTCGTTACTTTGTTGTGATGTCCAACCATAAAATCAAATATCCATCGCAGAAAGAAATATAAAAGCAATATTTATTGTTGGGATCATTGTTTACGAATTAATGTTTTTTTTTTTTTTTGGGGGGGGGGGAGGCTTATTCCTTCACGACACCTGATCCCACCTCTGATTATTTCTTGAGGTCCGTGTTTGCTCCCAATTTTTGTATTGTTTCAATGGACTTTCGAGCTGGATTACTGGTTAATGTTCGTTGTTTTCAAATTTCACCCCAAAATGTGACGTTTTCTTATTTTCCGAAATTTATGTTCAAGAATATTAATGATACCACAATACATGTTGATCTTGTGTTTCATGGGCATATTTTCTTTTTTCAGCGGGCATGGCTTATCAGGGATGGGACTTCTATCCTGGTTATCGTTTATCGCTGTGCCTTTCATGTTTGCTGGTGCAATCGTCACCGCCTTTGCTATGCAAGCAACTGGTGCCTTGGACACTTACGTCACATCTTTTGGTGACGTCAGCTGAAATCATAAATGTAAAACCCGAAACGAATCCATTTCCGGAGGAATTATAACGAAATCCAAGAAACCGGTGACTCCTACCTGCAATAATTACATGTAATTCATGAAACATATGCATCTAGCATGTATCTAATTGTGTTCATTTACAGTATTATAATACTGTTTAGCTTGAATTAGCAAACTTGCCATAATTTTGATACATTTTCATGTTTTGCTGAAATCTGTTGTTGGTCATTAATGTATAGAATTTTTCATAAATGAAACGTTCTTGTGATAAAAATCTGCTGTTCAAGCTTTAATTTTATCATCCGATTGTGTTACAGTGTATTATACTGAAAGCTTATGACAGGAAATAGAGCAAACTGGTTATTTGTACTTAGAATGTACATTTATTATACTTTCTGCACTTGTATAATTATACTTTAAGCACAATGTTTTCTGCGTCTACTGCGCAGGACGCACAAGAACTATTTCCCTGGTCACTGTTTTGAGATCTTTTTTCATGATTTCTTCTACAAAAGTATTTTTTGACGACGGAAGCAGAACGAAGTAAAAGTAGTTCTAAAGTCTATGCATGGTTTGCCTGAGAGTTTTTTACAGAAGGAAAACAAACACACACAATTGCGTAATATGATTGAACTGTATTCAAGATTTTGTTATAATAATCGATTTTTGATAATACAATTTTCTTTCATATATACTTGATCACATTTGCACATATTATTTTATAATGCAATCTGCTTCTATAAGCATCATCGAAGATTTGTTATCTTATTGCTATAGTCACTAGCTTGTTTGCATTGAAAGGTGAAGGTAAATATATATATATTTTTTTTTAATCATAAATTAGAATCGTTAAAATTTATTCATTTTTGATTGTTTCTGATGAATTTGAATGTACAGAGTGCCAATATATTATTTATTTGTTATCGTTATTTATTTATTGTGCCAAGTTATATCACAATCATTATGAACATGATAATAAAAAGAAATTCTGTTTTTTCCTCGTTTTTCTTCACTTTCTTAATCGCAGAAATTAAATAGCACTCCGAGGATTTGCTAGTTTTATTTCTGAATGAACCAATAAGTTGTAAAAAGATTATGTAAATCAATTGATGACAATCGTTCACAGGTCACACCTTTTTGGTCGGGGACCAGAGGAAATGATTTAGATTAAAGTGGAACGGACAGAATTTGGATATCATAAATTTTTAATGGAATATCTGGGACAATTGCTGCTACGTTAATGAAATACTTCAGAATTCTGGTTGTTACATGTATCTGTAAAGCTTGATGATCGATGATTTAAAATTCGGAAAGAGTAAGTGTTGGTCTTTGATGTATGCATTACATTTATTTGCCGGGTTCACAAATGTGTTAAGCCGGCATTTATGATTGGAGAGACAAAATTTATAAATGAATAATATTTTACTTACAAAAAAAGTTTTATCGATGGTGTAATGGTGGTGTAAAGAAGATTTAAAGATGGCTTGAAGGAGTTTGGCATTAAGAACCTATTAGTTTTAGTGTTAATCACCCTTGGCAAAGGGAAAAGAAAACTCGCAACTCGTAGGATAGAATCTATGCAAATACAACCCATGAGAGAACATACTAGTATAATAGTTTATCTTTCCTCACAATCCATAGGCGTTGGGACCGGGGGGGGGGGGGGGGGGCTAGGGGGGCTAAGCCCCCCCCCCACTTTTTTGCAAAGATAGACATAACGTAGGCATTGAAAATTGGGGCTTACCTTTTTTGTTGGTTAACCCACCCCCCTTTCAATTAGCCCCCTCCACTTTCAATTTGCTCCCGACGCCTATGCAATCCATTTTTATTATATAATTAAAAAATAAATTAGGTCAAAAACATATGACTAATTTTTAACTTACAGATGTATATTGAGATCTTTATTTGTGCACAGGTAATAATTATTCTGATAAATATATCTACAATGATGAACGAACGTGTTTCAAATCAGTAAGTAGGATAACAATTACATATAACATATTATCGAACAACAATCATTTTATTCTATGTCCCGCGGTGCATGATGACCTACATATATAGACCAAAGATTAATTATCAATGGATGTATTAATCTAGAAATTAAAATCATACAGAAATCTTGAATTATTAATAGAAATATCTTTAGGATGTTCAACTGGTACTGTTCATTCATTCATGATTGTACATGCTATAGTCAGCACAACACCAAATGTTACTTAATACTGAATTGAAAGTGGTACCTTGAATCTCTCATTGATAATGGTGTCCCTTGGAACAATTTTTGAGTATATCATAATCAATTGTGTTACTTTCTTAACTGCCAATACTGTTTCCCAGTGCCAGCAGAAGACATTTTTCAGACCCTATCTTTTTTCAATTGAACAGCCAGGAAAGGATTACATGTATATTTCGACCGTACAAGGAAGCGTGGAATTTTGCGTTTTAGAGTGTGTGAGAGACCCCAAGTGTTCCTCTGTTCTACACAATTCTAGAAGTCAGTTATGTAAATTGTTACGTTGCCTGTTAACCCCTGCTTACATTATTCCGGATACCTCAGAAAATGGTTTGGATTATTTTGTCAGTGAAGATGGTAAAAATAATTATCTCTCTGTCTCATTTCGAAAATAACCAAAAATAATGGTGCCATAAATAAAAGTTTTGCTGTTTCTGTTTAAAAAATAATAATTGCAGAATGTAGTGACGGTTGGTTCCGGTTTGAGGACCATTGTTACTATAACAACTTGACGGACATTACATGGAACGAGGCTGAGGTAAATCCTTTAAGTTTATGAATGAGGAAAGCCAAAGGTTTCGAGAGAATAAATGTTATGAATTGCTTGTGGTATTTTTTTGATAAACATTAACATTTTTGTCTTCTTTTTGTCTTCATTTTATTTTTCTTAATTGTGAATCGAATAGAATTATATGTCATCCATTATTGAAAAAAATCACACAATTTATATGTTTTTTTCTTTTGAAGTCAAAGCCGATTTAGTGAATCTTTGTTATTCAAAGCTTCTAGAAAGGAAGCATAATAAATTATAATGATTTTTTGCTATTCAATTTTGCTTACAGTTGAGTGAATAATTTCTGAATTCCTTTGTTTATTAAAATTTCGTAGTGTCCTCTACAAAAATTTAGAATTTTTCAATTTAAATAATTAGCTCATTATTCTTTAAATTTCGCCCGATCAACACTCAGGCTGTACTTAAATAAGACCATGTAGAAACTATGAACATCTCATTTTTCGCTTGAAGGACCTCTTTTTGAGTTCCCTGACGATGCCGCTCACGGATTCTGTCAGCCACGATTTGCGTTCTGTCTAGACATTTGAGACAAACTTCAACCAGCGTTTTAACTTTTAATATGGAACTGACAAATTTTTATACAGGTCTGTGTACTCGGGACGGCTGTCCGATTCCGAGTGATCATCCAAAACAAATTCAACAGTATATATAACAATTATGGTGTGACATGTGTAAAAATGACATTTGGAAATAAATAGATAAGATTTTGACACTTGAGTAAACCCTTAAAATAATTTAGCGTCAGATTATCGTCCTTTTGATGTTACTTTTCCTGAAGATAATTTTTAAAACAATTGGATTACCGGAAATCGCGGATGTTTTAATTCAATAAAGATTAAGAGTCGTAAATACAATAAAGAAAATAATATGAAAAAGCTTAAGAATTTAGGAAGAGTTGTTCTAAAAACACAAAACAGTAACTTAATTTTAGAAACTAGAAAAATCTCTTATAACAGTGAAATTTTCATCCTGATCGTAGTATTTCTTTTCATTACAATCTTTCTTGGAAGACGGTATACCGAGTTGAAGTTTGAAGTATTTCACAGTGTTCGGACTGTGCACTTCCTCTTTTTTGCGATTGAAAGAAAATGTATGATGTGAAAATTTTCAATAAAAGCTGTTCAAGGCAAGGGAGATATTTTACTGGTGGTCTAATTTTCGTACCAGTTTATAATATTTCTAGATTTTTAATTTTTGAAAAAAATCGACAAAACGAACTAAAGAAAATTGTAATTAATGAAACTGATACTTTATCGTTTTACAACAATTATTATTAAGTCTTTCTGTATTTTCATGATTAACAGATTGTTCTTTTTTTTCATGCAAATATTGAAGTTCGTGTTTATTCTTTTTTTCCCCCTTCGTTTATATGGTAGGGCCAATGTCTCTTGAAGATGTACAGACCCAAGAACTACAGTACTGAACAATAATATGCGTAATAGGTGTATATCAGTTAACTATTTAAAGTTGTTGTTTAAGACAGCAAAACTTTTTGAAAAATCTATTATATAATACTTTTTGTAGAATGTTTGCAATCATCATGGAGCCTACTTGGTGGAAATAAATTCGAGCTATGAAAATTTATGGCTTGATAGGGAATTACCTAACGGTAAGTGAGGGTGATTCTAAATTCTTAAATGTAGGCACTGTTTTGGGTATTTATGAGAAGCTTGTCGACCGAAGAGGTGGATTGATTGCTTGTTTGTTGTTTTACGTCCCATACGAGAAATTTCACTCATTTAGAGACTTTACCATATACCGAGGAAGAGCTTCAAATTTAGACCTTAATATCGGTGAGGATTCGACTAGATATTTAGTCTGACGCCTTCACCGAATCTCAGAACAGTTCTTCATAAATTACCTCTGGAAATTCAGCCCCAACTTCGGCAGGCTATAGCAAGAATTATTCACCTAGGCGACTTTGTCTTCGCTTCACGTAAGTCATTTGGTTGTTTAATTAACTCTCCGTCTCTATCATTTCCACATTGCTTACCGTCCAGGCATATAAGTCTTAAAATAAAAACATTCACTGAAATCTTCGTTCAAAATATGGCTCCCCTGACGTAATGGTTTATCTCCTCGCATTAAAGAGTTCCTTTATAGTCTGTTTTCATTTCTATAAAAAAATAGTTAAAAGCCACAGTAAGAGGTTCAGTATCACATAAAAGAAAACAGACTATTGGAACTCTTTGATGCGAGGAGATAAACAATTATGTAAGGAGAGCCATATTTTGAACGCATATTTCAGTGAATGTTTTTTAACATTGATAAATGCTAACATTTTTCTTGTACATAGCTGATCTATTGTGGATTGTCAAAGGGGGAGTTTCGATAAGGCTGTTTTTCGGCCCCTCAAGAAATATAATGAAATTGTGATATGTTGTAGATAAAAGTGTCATCTTCCTAAAAATATGAAAAAAAATTATACTGCACATTTTCTGGTCACGTGATAATTAAAAATTTAAGTATACCCTCTTCCCTATATTTTTGGAGGGGTCATATTTAAAGGGGGTAATGGAGTATATTTAACGTCAAAATCATAAATGAAATATTACAAATGTGAATAAAGACATCAAATAACCAATTTCAATATTTGTCTTTACAGAAAATTAATGATGTTTATTTTATTTGAATGCGTTTTAAGGTGCAAGATTTTCCTCGTGCTTTAATTGTAACGCTTCTTTCAAAGAGGATGAATGTAACATACAAAAAGTATATAAATAATAAAGACAGGAATTTTCAAAAAATGAATTAATCGACAGTTTATTTTTAGACTTAATAATCAATATATAACATTTTCCCGTACGTAGAAAAGCAAATGCAAAGCTATATAGACAAGAGATAGATAAACTTAAACTGTCATTGACAGGTGTTTGACACTGCTTGGAACACATTTTTATCAACTAAAGTTATTGTGCTAAATAAAGTATTAATAAAATGTACCGACATATCATTAAATTGAATTTTAAAAAAATCTTGAAATTAACAGATTTCGGAATTCGGTTTGATTAAAAAATGCAGCTATTTATATTTTTAAAGTATATTTAAAAGAATCATACTGCAATGTACATTGTATTTAATAATACCAAGCGTATTACTACCTGGCAAAATATTTTTTCAAGATAGTAATTATCAATTAGTCCCATACCGGTGAAGCCGGAGGGGTCTATAGGTTTCCTCATCGTCTGTCCGCATGTTTGTCCGTCCGTCCCTCTATCTATCTTTCAGTCTGTTCCACTTGGTTTTTCGCACTTTTCTCTAAACGCTTGCAGATATTGAGCTGGTTTTGGTATTTATAGTGTATCCTGATGAGAAACAGAGTTTGAAATTCCGGTTTGAATTTGTTAAATTCTGCTTAATTGAATTTTGACGGAATATTACAAATTCAAAAGAAAAAGGGGGTTCGGCTTTTTTTGTTTTGTTTTGTTTTTTATAAAAAAAAATCGCATATATTGAGCTGATTTTTGTTTTGGTATATGTGTTAAACTTGAATTATAGATCAAGTTTGCATTTTCTTCCGCTTCAATGATTTTTCAAATAGGGCATTTTCAATTTTGAATGGAAACCAGGTTATACTTGGTGTGCCGATAGTGGACTATTATTGCTAATGTAGTGCTTACAGAATGTGTGAATAAATAGCCAAATGATAAAAAAAAAAACTAAAATACATTGAGTGCACGTCTTCTTTTGATTCTTAAACTTAAAAAGTATTTACGCACATAAAGAGGTGCATTAGTTTTCAGCAAAAATGAGACAATCAAGGCAAGCGAGGACCTACATGTAATTTTGCGCGCTTCCCAACTACCTTTTGATGCTTATGTTGTTTCACCAACTCTAGTCACTATTTGATTTGCTAGACCATAGCCGCAATTTAAAATACATTTGTAAATACCAAATGTATGCGTTAAATCATATCCTGCAGAAACGTACAAATCAACATCCAGTCTTAAAAGTAATCTACGTTCCCTACATGTAGACCAAACGGAAATATATGTGAACCTTCTCTAACAGATTGAAGCGAGGAGAGATTCTATTCAAAGGAATAGCTATAACCATATCCATGATAAAGAACGTTAATGAGTGGACTAATTCTTAAACTTCTCTTTAGTTCAGTCAGTCATTCGGAAAATGTAAGATCCAGCATCTGTTACAGTTCTGGTAATGTGTAACCCTAAATGCATCATCGGTGCATATTTCTTCAAGATAGGGATTATAGTTACATGAAAATTAGACATGTTCCAAAATATATACCTTGAGCATTCATCGAGAAAATGTAAGTCAGATCTAGCATCTGAAGCAGTTTGACAGTGTGCATCCGAAGATGCATCATGAAGCATTTCTTCTCAACTAGAGTATATAGCTGCACTGCTCTATTAACAATAACCTGCTTTAAAAACATTAACCTGGACATTCTTTAACTGAAAATGCAGAATCTAAAACCCGACAGATGACAAGAAAACACACTAGATCAGGCGACTCTGATGATATGAAAAAAATGATTAAAAACTTTCAATAACCTATACGCCTACGTATAACGATGGTATTACAAAAGCTCCCCCAACTTCGTGTAGGTGAGCTAAATATGTGACGTTAACCTTACACGCGAGCGACGAAATAAGTATGGAAATAACGATAGGATACGATTATGTTTTCTTACATGTATGTTAATATTTTAGAGAGTTCTCTTTGGTTTAGCGAAAAATATGCTACTTTTGGCTTTGTATTTTAACACGGCGTCAGATCAAGTAACCAGGAGCTTCTAATTTTAGATATGCAAATTTTAGACAACTTTCAATTTTTGGATATGAAGTGCACACGCGACACTCATCATATTTTAAGATATTAGTGTGCAGAGTATATCTAATTACTGAGCAAAACTAGGTTAGTGTCCCTCATGCACTTCATATTCTTACCATCGATTTATAAATGGCACCCTCTTATATTTTCCATTAGCCTAATGTTAAAGCATTTGAGGGTACCTTTAAGAATGTGCCAACTACGGCGTGAATTCATCTCATATAAACTCTTGAAATATAAATAACAAAAATTAACATATATATCTTGAATTCTAAACCAAATTTGAAAAAATAAAACGAAATTTATTTTTATGAAAATAAGTGGGCCGATAAGCGGCCTTATCGAAACTCCCCCTTTGATTTGAAACGCATAATTTCATTTTACCATATGATAAATCATCACAACCAACCACATTTAAGCTAAGATTACAATTGAAATGAAATAATTCAATTTGATATACACATAGAGAAGTATTGAATAACGTTTATTTTCTATGTCATTTTAGACAGCATATCTCTGTACAGATTTCGGATTTTATTTTTCTAGCCGAAATAGTAATCCAAAGTTCATGGTCGGGCCATACAATTGAAATATGACCTGAGAAAAGACGTACCTACCTTAAAACGTTAGAGAAATTAATAAATTATAACAATTTTTATGCATTTCATAAGTGACTTACTGCTTCTCCACATTTTCCTTCGAAACATACAATTTTAATTCAAATTCATTTGAAATAAGTTTACCATTAAAATAGATAACTTCGAATTACAAGTAGAACGTAATAATCAAGTTTTTCTTTTAAATACCTATTTCTAATGTCATACAGTATCTCTTTTCAGAGGAGAGACACCGCTGGATTGGGGCTACAGATATACTGACTGAGGGTCAGTTCCTGTGGAGTTTCTCTAATACAGAGTTGAATTTTGAGAACTGGAGAAATGGAGAACCAAATAATGTAAACCAAAAGGAACACTGTGCCGTGATAATGAAGGGCGGACGATGGAACGACTTTAAATGTTACTGCAGTCAGGCTTTTATTTGCGAGAAAAATCTGTTTTAGTATACATTTCCATGAAATCAATGTCAATAACATACACCTTACTAGTTGTATACTTAAAGTTTAGTGTAGAAACTGTATGCATGAACATTTTCGTCAATTATATATTTTTGCTCCTTTCGCCCTCATCTTGAGCGAATTAAAAACAGAACGAATTTAAGGGATATCATTTGTACATCTTTTCAAAGAACAGTGTCTGGACAAATATAAAACGGCGCGAAACTGTATGCAAGAGTAATTCGGCAAAAAAAAAAAAAAAAAAAAAAAAAAACCTATGTAAACAAGTCTTTACTTATACTGAACACTTACTATCTGTCATTTCTTCGGCAATACTTTAAAAAGAGGTTCCTTTACTTTATTATGTTTATTTTGAAACTCTATGGCCTTCAGTGATATGTCCATTTACATACTGAATTTGATTCTTGTTGTATAACATTTGACTTCCAACTCAGTGGGATGTTTTGTCCACTACGAGAGTAAATATGTATTTTTAGTTTATAGCGTGCGGATATCACAACAAACTAATAATATACGAGAAACAAAGCAAAATGATCAATCTCAAAGGAACACATTTAAATATGCCACTTTCCATACATTGAAGTGGACAAAAATTCAAATGATATATAACAGCATATTTTTTTTAGTATGTTGAAACATATATATGAACAGATATTTTTGTGACCCTTATCCCAAACTCACCTTTTCATGCAAATATATGAATTTTATTCAGGATCATATATTAAGTTGTACATATTTTACTTTAAGTCAAGGACACATTTGGGCGGCTCGCTTATGATCCTGCAAATTCATCGATATCTTGTAGATAAAAAAATCATTTTATAAAAGAAAAGGAAATCTTTGAGAAACATCTTATTAATTTACTAAGATTTCAAAATTACATGAAATTCACTCAATATCCTGCATAGAAAACGAAGATTATTTCCACATTCTAAAGAAAAATGAAACGTGTTAAGAAGCGTATATATATCTACAGCAATACGGTGTTCAAGTTTAATGACACAGGGCGCAAGGATAAATATCATTCAGCTGATCATATCTATAGTAACAGCGTAATAATAATGTACCGATGGAATACTAAACATGAACATATAATAAAGACACTGGAAATCACAAAACTTTCTTTAAATACAGAAATAGCTGCTTGAAAAAAGGAAGAAGATAGATTATCCTACTGAAAAGGCTTTGTGTCAGGATTGCATAAAATAAGAATTACGACAAAAGAGTTAAAATTAAACCAAATGATTTGGGTTAAGAGTTGTCTGGGAAAAACTGTAATAGATGATAAACATTTTCTTGCTTCTTATATGTACATACACAAAGCTTTGACAAAATGTTTTACTGATTTTCTGTATAACTATCTGATTAGTTCCGCAATTTGGTTTTCTATCATACTGGCATAAACATTGTCCGTATTCAGAAAATCACCAACAGCTTTGAAGCAGAACTCATATTCTTCCTGAAAGAGAACGAGAAAACATTGAATTTTGTCAATTGACCGTAAATAGAGCTAAAAGGTGTTTTTTTTTAATGAATTAATTAGATTCCTTTGTATTTATTCACAGAACAAGGATTTTGCATTAAATATTGATTCTCAATATTATTATTGCAATATATTTGATATCAAAATGAAACTTAAATATCTTTGTGTTCTTGTATACATAACAATTTGTAACAAATCCTCTTTCACATAACAAACTACGTACCATGTGTATAACATTATAAATATATTATTGCCCTTTTTTTCAATTAATATCTTATTTTTCAAATTTTATGAGTTTTCAAGGCCATCAGAAAATTATAAACACAATACATGGCAGCGAAAGTATATACCTTGGTAGAAATCAATTCCGGTCTTCGACACTGCAATTGCTGAACAATGGTACAGATGTCTACTTCATTGTCCTGGTGTAGTTGTTCTATTGCATTATATACAGCCATGAATACACCACAACATGTTGCTCCGTCCCTGTATTAAGACCAATCAATATATGTTTATAAAACAAAATACAATACGAGACAAAGGTATGGGATTATGGATAGTTTTTATTGTATACCGTTTTGAAATCCAAAATGATCACATAGAAATCGAATCTGTTCATTAATCTGTTGAAAATATTTTTTTTCAATCTGATTTTCATTTTTTTTCTTCATTTTTGTAGTATATTTGCAATGTGACCTTGAATTTGCATAGTTATCTTCTTCAATTAAATAGTATAAGGCAGATATGTTTTAAAAAATACAAGTAAAATGATAATTCAAAATTGTATATATATTCAGTTTTAAATCAATTTCTTTGAATAAAACATGATCAACCTTAAAATATGGCATTTATTTTGTCACAACATTGGAATGAATACGTACATGGAGACAAGAGTCACTGGGCCATCCGGTTCAGATTTTCGGTCAAGACTGAACTGTTTGATTAAATTGACCAACGTGGATGTATCAGCCGGAAGTACATCATCGATCTTCCCATCCAGGCATTCTGAGAACTTTTCCCCTTATAATTATAAAAAACAGTTACCTGTTAACAAAAAAAAAAAAAAAAAAAAAAAAAAAAAAAAAAAAAAAGAAAGAAAGAAAAGAAACAACTTTTATCAAGAAGAAAAACCGTAAACCTATCTTGCATTACATATATAGTGTATGAACTTAAAGAAAAAAAAACATTTTAAATCTCTAAAGGTTACAAAATAATTCAATAAAAAAAATCATGAAGTAGAACATTTTTCACACAGTATACCTTCTCTTTTATTTTTAGAGTTTTCTTTCATATATCACTGTTCATAATTGACTGCGTACTTTTGATAATTTCAAATGAACCCAGCTTAAAAATTCTTTACTTCTTCATCAACCCATTCTTTTATCTGTACGAAGTAAATTCAACATATATAACGCCATTTTTAAACTTACGGACAAATAAAACTGATGCAAACATCATAATATGTTTTTTCATAATTTACTTAAAATGCTCTTTGAACTTGATCCTATCATTGCTCATGATAGGATGAAGTTCAAAGAGCATTTTAAGTATTTTATGATTCATGGGTTATATAGATGTAAGTAAATATCACATACAACACAATTTGTTACGTTATGGACAAATAAAATAGATGCGTGACATCCTAATACTTTTTTCATGACTTATTTAAAATGCTCTTTGAATTTGATACTATATTTTTCATGGATTTTATTGATAATAACTTTTTTGTTTTCTTTTGATTCTTTATTTTCTTTCTTACTTTTTAGGTGTTCAACTTAGGCTAAACAATGCATTGAATTCAAAATGTCTAAAAGGTGCTCTTTACGTATTTTTTTTTTTTTTACTTTTATAACGTATTTCTTTTTTTAACAACGAATGTTTCTAAATGGGTATGAATGAGATATATTATAATGCGCATGTTCATAATTACATGACGTACAGATAGCTTTACCTCATTGATATCAGAAAGAGGATTCAGAGATATAAGGACCATGCCCGTAGGAACCGGGGGGCGTGCCCCCCCCCCCCCTCCCCCAATAATTTTGTCGATATATAGATTTGCTATATTTTTGGAATTTTTGGTAGTTGATAGGGCCCCCTCAACTGAAAATATATGGCTGTGCCCCCCCCCTCCCCCAAACTGGAATTGTTTCCTACGGGCCTGTAAGGAAGTGCGACTCTTGATCAACAAGCAAGTGAGCTAAATCAATGACAACACCAGTAACCGGAAGTTGTGCAGAAATAAACTCACACGGTCGAGTGAAAGACTGCATGCGAAAAAAAACAACATTCTTTTTAAATTTCTTGACAATGATTTTCACTCATATAACATTAACATAATAAAGTGCGTTGTACTATTCTGGCTCGTCATTGTTTAAATAATCATTCAGTGTTCAAAATCTTGATTAATAATAACCAAACAATTCTTAAATAAACTCAAGGGTTATTACTTCAATATTCAATTGATGAAAACATACCGACAAAGTCACTGCATTGTAATAATAGTCTCGACCCCGCACGTAGGACGTCAAATACACCAAGTAGTGGTCAACTGCGTGAAGGGTAAAGTATGGTATCATAAATGCAGTATTGTATAAATTCTAAACATTTATATAAAAAGTAGTTACTGTTAAAAATGTACATAAGCATTTTTAACTATTTCTAATTATAGACACAAGTGTGTCTTTTAAAGATAAATGTATATAAAAAATGCAAGTTACACGTCTTTATTCCTCTGAGATACTTCCTACCCATTTTAAAAACGTTTGCATCAAAGACTGGTTTAAAAGTTGAAAGTTTCTAATAAATCAGAAATAAACCAAATAACCTTAGTAATCTTTTGCTTAAAAAGTAACACATAAGAAAAGTATCGACAGAAAATAATATTACTTTGAAATTTACATTGAATTCGTCTGCTATTTTTTTCCTCGTTTCTTGTGTGTTGCTATCGCTATAGCATTTCATAAATTCTTCACGTTTGATACACCCTCCTTTTCTTCTGAAGAACTCGTACAAAGCCTTATATAGAAAAACGTATTGATCCTGAAAATCAGAAACAGTTTATCGAAGCAAGCTTTTTACAATTTAAAAAAAAATCATTTCATTTATCTTTGGAAAGATTTAAAAACTCAAAAGGATTTTCTTTTCAAATTCACGTTCACGCAATAGTTTAAAACGTGCTGACTGAAAAATACTGGTTTGAAGGAATATTGCTTAATTTCATCAAGGAAGATACATTGTATAAACTTTAATTTACTGCATTCGGAATTAAAGTCATTCTGTCCTTACGCATGGCCCTGACATACTCTATGACATTGCCCGTAGCACTTCCGTATCTAGTCAGAACATCAAATGCAATGAAAGTTCCCGTTCGTCCGATCCCGGCACTAGAAAACATGACACGTGCACCTATGGATGTTTTTGATTACAATGTTTGGAAGAAAAGTTAATTCAAATTCAACTTTGAATTAAAAAAGAAAATTGTCCAATACCGTTCATTTAT